GGGAATCTATTAAAACATATTAATAAAATTAATCTTCAATATCCATGCGGAATATATTAGAGTATACTAATGTAATACATGGAGGATTAAGCTCGTGCGGCTTCAATCATTTATGAAGTTTGCTCAGTGCCCGCTGCGGGCTCATGTTTATTCATTACTAATTGGTAGGCCTGTCATATTATCAGGCAACATTGTAGATAATATGCTTAGCTTTTTATTATGTGATAATGTAAAAATCCACTGATATAAAGAAGAAATTGAATAATCCACTGACGTTTTAAAAAATCTACCTATTAAAAAAGAAATTCCTTTATTATTATTAATCAGTCCATTGTGGTATGTCAAAAGAATGGAAAAATAAGGAAAACTGCTGGGGGGACAAAGATCAGGAATTAATTATTACGGTTTTATAACAATGTTATCCTTATTTATTGCTTGATGGTGCTGTCGTACTTCTACAATAATATGTTCTAACTACTGGTTGTAACATGAGCCATAGTATTTATGGGTAGAGCAATAAGCTTATCGTAATTATAACGTTTAAATTTGTATAAGTAACACACTGTTTTAATGATCGTAACATTATCAAGCCTTAACACTATCCCGTGACTCTCCAAGGTTACGACTAGATGAACTTAATGTTTTGCTGCCGACTTCAAAAAGGAGACGGTACTCAATTCGACTGTATGTTTTTTTATGTGTATGTTACCTCATAACTTTTTACTGGTTGAACCGATTTCGATGATTCTTTTTTTATTTGAAAGCTGGTACTTCACATGTGGTCCCATATAAATCGAGGTTAGACCAATAGCTTCTTGAGTTATTCTTAATAATTTATATCAAAGTCGGCTGTACATTATTTTAAATTATTATTACTCCAAATTTATCATGGCACAGATATATGTGTATAATATAATGTATACATTTAATGTATTTGAGTAGATTTATGTATGTGTACGTCTGTATTAATATATTTACATTTTATGATATATGTATAGAGTATCTTCTCTCACCATCTCTCTCTCTCTCTCTCTCTCTCTCTCTATATATATATATATATATATATATATATATATATATATATATATATATATATATTCTGGTGTATTCAAACTTCGTTACCTTTTATTCTCATTTAGAAGGCTTTGCCGCCTTCTAAAGTGAAAAATTCATCTGCAAGCAACTTTAAATAAAAAAGAATAAGTTAGTCCTTAGATAGCGTTCGAGCAATTTGAGCACCAAAATTCTGCCAGGAAAATTTTATCGGCAAGTTTGTTTTGTGTTTTTAAATCAGTTTTAAATAAAATAATAACTCAAAGAACCATTAAAACGAGGTTAATAACAATATCCTCTTATAGTATTATCATCTTATCATGGACACGAAGGCACTCCTACTTGATCGCATCACAATATTTGTAGAGCTACTCTTGTAAATGTTCAATATTTAGGTATGAATAGAAGGAGTTACGGGATATATATATATCGCCTCATATATATTCGCCACAGTTGCGACGCAAGGCAACTGCAGTTTATTTTTATTGTAGGACGATGCCGCCCATCTCCTAATTTGTCAAATATCAAGAACATAGTAAAGTATATTAAATTATAAAAACCAATTCTTTACATACCCGTACACCAAACTTGCAAACAATGATTGAACACAAGGATTATTCGATTTCCAAATACTACTTGCCTCAGTGACTATTTTAACCACAGGAGAGAGGTGTTAACGTTGTTTTAGAGGCTATTTTACAGTGTAAACTTGTTTGGCGCTTGACCGCCGCACTGTAACTTCATTGCTTTGTCCATTTTCACATCAAATAGCAAATTTGCAAAACAATTTATATTTTGTATACCCTCAATGGGTAGTAGAAATTTATTGCAAAATACTTGTTATAACTAATAATTAAACCTTAAATTGAAAACCGTGTTCTTTGAACCAGATGAATATTTATTTTTTGGTCCCCGTTAAATGACACAAAATTATTTTATTATTATTTCGGTACGCCCTAAAAATTTATCGCATTATGTGTGAATAAATTTCTCTAGTGAGTTCTTTACTAACTGCAAAAAGCATTTTTTTTTAAATAATTATGGCTTATTTATAGTCGATTTTAATGAGATGTTGAATCTAAATGTAAAAATAAAAATAACGATAAATAGGTGAAGCTCAATTAAAAAATTCAAATTAGAGCGCAATATAGTGACGTTTGAAATTATTTCGATAATGAAGTAAATTTGATAAAGAATACATCAATCAAGTCGTAAACAATGAAAATACACCATGTATAATAATTATTCCACACTTTAGTAATTATTTTACTGTATTATGTTTTTATAATGATTTTTCTGAATGGAATGACTTGGTAAGACATGCAAGAAGTCAATGGATGCAGGTGGCTCAGGACCGTGCTTTGTGGCATTCATTGAGGGAGGTCTAGGTTCTGCGGTGGACTTGTGAAAGTTTTTGTGTTATTACGAATGTGTGGTAAATATATAATCTTCTATACACTAATACGTGACGATAAAAGTTTGCACCACCTTTTTAAGCATGTTGCGCTCCCGGCGGGCTGTGAGATTTAGCATAGTTAAAGTTTATATAGAGAAGAAGTGCAGAAAATCAAAACTTTATTTAATATACATAATAAATTTTATATAATATACTAGCGATCTGCCATCTGGATCTATATCTCGACCACAGCGCCACCTACCAGGTCCAAATGTGAATCTACACCATCTGGGACCCATTCAAATTTCAAACACACAAAAGTGGACGATATGAATGACAAGATCGTGGAAACTGTCCATGCGATCGGAGCTAAGTTCTGCAAGACCCGCCGCAGAAGAACACAAAAACTCTCCGATCACACTCTCAATCTCATGGTTGTTAGACGGGAGATGAAGCTACATTCTTCAACAGATTTGCGGCGGGACTTACGCAACTTCAATACAGCTTGTATTGAAGAAGCGATCGAGCGGAACCAAGGCTCCAAAGTCTTTGCCAGAGATCTGTCTGCCAGGAAGAGCCAACTGTCAAGACTGAAGACCGAGTGTGGCAGCATCGTTTCCGGGGCATCTGAGATTTTGAGTGAGATTGAGAGGTTTTATGGGTAGCTGTACACGTCATCGTTGGAGCCACACGCTAATGTGAGTAACGATCCAATAGCGAGTCTTATCCGACACTATTCCGAAGATATCCCGGACGTCAGTCTGAGCGAGATTAGAATGGCTCTCCAGCACCTTAAAAACGGCAAGGCCCCAGGCGAGGATGGAATTACAGCGGAGCTTCTGAAAGTGGGTGGAAGACCGGTACGTAAAGTCCTTCAGAAGCTTTTTAATTCCGTCCTCCATGGTGGCATTACACCGGAGGCATGGAGCAGATGTGCGGTGGTCTTGTTCTTCAAGAAAGGTGACAACTCTCTCTTGAAGAACTACAGACCGATTTCCCTTCTGAGCCGCGTCTACGTGCTGTTTTCGAGAGTCATTACGAATCGTCTCGCACGCAGACTTGACGACTTCCAGCCTCCCGAACAAGCCGGTTTCCGAAAGGGCTTTAGCACAATAGACCACATACATACCCTTCGGCAAATTGTACAGAAGTCCGAAGAGTACAATTTGCCACTATGTCTGGCGTATGTGGATTATGAGAAAGCCTTCGATTCCGTCGAAATTTTGGGCGGTGCTGCAGTCCCTTCAGCGGTGCCAAGTTGACTGTCGGTATATCGAAGTGCTGAAGTGTTTGTACAGTAGAGCTACGATGGCTATCCGAATACAGAACCAGAGTACGAAACCTATCCAATTGCAGAGAGGTGTAAGACAGGGTGATGTTATATCCCCGAAACTCTTCACCGCTGCATTGGAAGACGTTTTCAAGCTTCTGGACTGGAAAGGATACGGTATTAACATCAATGGCGAGTACATCACTCACCTTTGATTTGCCGATGATATAGTCCTTATGGCAGAATCGCTGGAGGAACTAAGCACCATGCTCAATGATCTCAATAGTGTCTCTCAACGAATAGGTCTTAGGATGAACATGGACAAAACAAAGATCATGTTTAATGTGTATGTCACACCTATGCCGGTAGTTATTGGGAGCACTAAGCTCGAAGTTGTTGACGAGTATGTTTACCTGGGACAAATAGTCCGACTAGGTAAGTCCAACTTCGACCGAGAGGTGAATCGACGGATTCAACTCGGCTGGGCAGCGTTCGGGAAACTACGATACATCTTCTCGTTAGACATACCTCAAAACATTAAAACGAATTTGTACAATCAGTGCGTGTTACCAGTGATGGCCGTATGAGGAAGATCAAGGTCGCTCAGCGAGCTATGGAGAAAGATATGCTCAGGGTTTCTCTGCGTGATAAACTTAGAAATGAGTCCGCAGTAGAAGCAGAGTAACCGACATAGCCCAACGGATTAGTAAGCTGAAGTGGCAGTGGGCTGGTCATATAGCTCGAAAAACCGACAACCGACGGGGAAGAAAGGTTCTCGAGTGGCAGGCTCGTACCGGTAGGCGAAGTGTAGGGCGACCCACCACTAGATGGAGTGACGACCTGGTAAGACATGCAGGAAGTCGATGGATGCAGGTGGCTAAGGACCGTGCTTTGTGGCTTTCCTTGGGGGAGGCCTATGTTCAGCAGTAGACATGTGAAAGGCTGTAATGATGATGATGATGATGGTAGCAGCGAAAGAGAATCCATCACTTCATTTCTTTTCATGGCGTAGGTATTGCAAGGAGTGAGTATGAAAATACCAGAAATATCTTATGTTTTCCAGTAGATATAGGTAAACTATCCCGTATATTCTAAATGGAAAATAATCAGACCGGTGATGGACAGCGGCGTCAACGATGTGAGATGTATGGTACTGCAATCACCCATATCCTTGTTAGGCTTGCAAATCCTCCTTACTACTCGTAGAGGAAGAGACTATTTTCAGCTTATGGTACAAGATAAGTGTTAATGCCTAATGAAAATGTGTTTTAAAAGACTTACCTCTTTACTATGGTCCACCTCTGTGCGATCAGTCTTCTTTATAACTACTTGCTCATTTTTAATTATCTTCGTATCACTTAACGTGCCTTGGTCTATCCATATGTCGCTATTATTTTTGCTTGTATAATTAGTCACGTCCGGTTTATTAGGTCCAATGTTTTCAAATGAACTTTTATTCGTGTTACAATCATTTGCTTTTGTAATGTCGTTTGTTTTATCCTCTGAACTTTTGATTTTAAAGCAAGATAGCGTTTTCTTATTTTTCTTAGCCTCCTCTCTGCTATTTTTCTCGGAATCATTTGATTCGGTTTCATCTTTCTTATTATCTTTTGTTGACTTCAACCGTTTCTTTTTACCATTCCATTTAGACATGGCTGTTTTCGATTGATTGTTATCATCACCGCTGCTTACACTATCCAAACAAACGGGATTCACTAATATTTTTGTAGACTTTGCTTTTCGCTCAATCTTTCTTAGATTAAGAAGGCTTCCTGACGAGTCCATTAATGATGATAGCGAAGTTAAAGAAACAGGATTATCCTTTTCATCTATACTAAAACCGTGTTCTGATTTAGGCAGCATTTGAATTGCCTTTATAACATTGGACGTGTTGTGACGCATTTTACCACTGGTTCCAAGTGGCCCCATAGTGACGGGTGGTCCTCCGTTAAATAATAAAGCTGTCTCCATAGGTTGACACACACAAGCTAACATTTTCATCGGGTCATTTAGGTAGACGCACTTAATACTATTATCACTCACATTTTTTGGTATTATTTATTCATATTGCCTTAGTTAACTGAACGATTACATAGCTGGAAACTTATTAATAAAATTATGTGTAGCATATGTGTCATAAATACTAAGTTTTAGTAAGTCTAGGAGTAGATAAAAGAGGATTCATCACCTCATTTCGTCCTATGGGTATCGTAAGAGGTTACTATGAGATATGCCAAAAATATCTCATACCTTCCGGTAGATGGCTCTATAGAAGTCTCGTTTACGCCAGGCGTAATTTAGCCACAATTGCGACGGAAAGCAGCGTCAAATTATCAGTCAATCCTCCTGTCGAGCGCAACGATTAAGACAAATTCTCCCTACAAATGCCCGGTAGCAGTGGACATTTACGGGCTGATAAGGAAGAAAAGGAAGGCCTGGATAAAACATTCTTTCATTTCCCGCTTTGAATTTTTAACATATAATAAGCTTCTTTGGAGGCCGTATAATGCATTATTTTCTAGCTGGAAGAACATTAGCATGCCCTTCATATCCGTGATACTCTAATATGTAAAATGTTACGTGCCGTCTCACTCTTTACAAAAAAAAAATATGTTAACGAATTTTTAATAATTCAGTTGTAGTACCTGCTGTGTTTTTATTTTGCCGATGGGATTGAACTCGGGTTGCTCACGTACCGTGTGATATTTTTAGTGTGTGTTTAGCCTCTGGCTTTTACACAAAGGAATAAATAAATTGGGATATTTATTTCTCTGTGTTATTGAATTAAAAAAATTAATTTAAATTTGTTTAACTTGAAACATTTATAAATTAACAACCGACTGATATTTATAATTGATGAAGAGTATAATGAAACATTTCTATTTATTTTGTTTAAAATTTATTAAATGAAATACAACTTTTAAGAGAAAATATCTAAAATGTGATATAGCTTTTCTAAAATCATCAATTACGATACGACATAAAAAATTGATTTCTGTAAAATATAGTAACATTTAAATAAAAACGCTTTATTTCCTGGTTCCACATCTCTCGTCAGAGAGGATTAATAATTTAAATAAAATCATATTTGAGTTTGAAATATAAAATATTATGTATATTATATTACAATAAAATTAAAATTCAATTTCAACGCGTCAAAAAAGGGGCTACTGATAGATTATTTTACAAAACAAGGAATCATTTTATTTATATTTTTATATTTTTTCAACCATTCAAATCAAATATAACAGGTTACCTTAACTTTTTTCTTTGAAAAATGTTTATTTTGAAGCAATTTAACTGAATTCAAATTCTGGTTTCGAGAGTTCATACCTTTTAGAATAAAGACCAGGAAGGGACCGTTCAAAATGTGATTTTTTCTTCATTACAACGCTCTAGCGGAAAATTAAGAAAAATTCGAGCGAACAAAGGTCGGTCAAATTGCTTGTAAAACCCCAGAGATACATTTAACTACGTCATCAATATAAAATATTGATTCACATCATTGTTTTATGTGAACTTTGTTAAAATTTATCGACACTAATATATTACCAAATAAAACGAATTTAATAGTGTGACCCTCTATAGGTACGATCTTTATACAATAATGTAATTTGTAACTTTCAATTTTGTAAATTAAAAAAAAAGAAATCAATTTTTATGGCATCGTATAACTATTTTAATGGAAACCAAATAGTGTATTGTATTGAAACAAGACTCGTGCAAAAGTCTGCTCGAAATTGAATGTCCATTTCGGCAACCGTATTCGGTACACTTTATTCACGCTTCGCATTCCCTAGTATCGTTAAAACATGTAAGGACTAATAAGTTTCAGTTTTTATCTACGACGTCATCGGCCCTTCAAGCTGTAATGATAGCCCTTCACAAATTCACTGCTGCATAAAGGACTTTCCTTACGGAATGCCATTAAGAACAATCCTGAGTAACCTTCGACTTCCTCCATCTCTTATCAGGTTGTCACTCCATTTAGTCCGCCTTATACTTCGCTTACCGGTACTAGAACATTTTTTTACCAAGCGTTTACGTTTTAGGAAGTTCCATTAGACGTTTCCTTTTAATATCAACGGGACGGAAACGATGTGATGATGATTCCCTTACGTTGTCATCACAGTCACACGACAAATAAGACGTTGGTACAAAATAATTTATCGCCTAATATTACATAATGGGCGTTGTATTACATTTAACATACCGTGTTGTTAATTACCGAGATAACGATCTTTAACTGAGCAGCAGATCGCGTATGGGTATGACAGGATAACGACTTTATGAAATATTGATTGAAAATGTTGCACGAGTGTCAGTAATATCGACCCCTACCCAATTAGAGCGAGATTTAATTATCAAGCCCGCATTGAGGAATCACTCGACATTCAACGGTACCTTCGCTGTAACCGCTCTTAACAGAACCAACAGAACTGTGTAACACAGACTTTGACATTAGTACCGATTTTATTTAGAAAGGGAAATGAAATCTTAATTAATTTACTTCAAACGGTTTTTATATAAAAGACGTATGATTCCGTACAAAATTATTAAATATAACATACTGCACAGATAAACTGTTTATATTATAATTATACAAATTAAAGAAATTATTATATCTGGTTGTGAATGGACTGAATAGACGGAGAATTGTACATGGTCTCACAAAACACTTCCAACGAGAAATTATTTGCAACAAAGTATTCCATCTAAGCCCAAATTAGAGCTAATGTGAACGTAGCTGTGTTTATGACTCACAGCGATCAATTACATATTGTTAATAGGTATGTTGGCTCTTTCTGGCAGACAGATCTCTGGCAAAGACTTTGGAGCCTTGGTTCCGCTCGATCGCTTCTTCAATACGAGCTGTATTGAAGTTGCGTAAGTCCCGCCGCGTGCATTTGGAGATCTGTCTGTTCAGATGCCTGTATGCTGTCAAGTCTGTTGAAGAATGTAGCTTCATCTCCCGTCTAACAGCCATGAGATTAAGAGTGTGATCGGAGAGTTTTTGTGTTCTTCTGCGGCGGGTCTTGCAGAACTTAGCTCCAACCGCATGGACAGTTTCCACGAGCTTGTCATTCATATCGTCCACTTCATTGCAGTCTTCCAGGCACTGAAAACGGTTTTGTAACTCGAGCTGAAAGGTTTCGGGACTTTGGAACAGAGCACGAGGGGGACGGAGCGTTGACTTCATTAGACGAGACCTCTCCAACTTAACGTTTAGGTTCAGTGTGCCTCTAACCATTCGGTGATCGCTACCAGTTTTCACCCTCGCGATCACGGAGACATCACTGAACAGTTGTCGTCTGGTCGTCATAATGAAGTCAATCTCATTTTTTGTGGAACCGTCGGGGCTCGACCAGGTCCACTTCCTGTGGGGCCGCTTCTGGAAGAAAGAGTTCATCATAAAGAGTCCCTCTTTCTCCATGAAGTCGGCCAGCTGCTGGCCCCTTGGGTTCCGTTGCCCTATTCCAAATTTCCCTACTTTCAGCTCACCGTTCTCTCTTGTGCCTAGTTTTGCATTGAAGTCTCCCATTAACACCGTATATTGGGTTTTGGAGGAATGCATGGCTCTAGAGATATCCTCATACATTTCCTCCACCTCCTCATCGGGGTGTGCCGAGGTTGGTGCGTAAACCTGTATGACCTTCAGCGAATACCGTTTGGTGATTCTGAGTATAAGGTACGCAACCCTCGTCGACACACTCCCGATTTTTACAACGTTGTTAACGAGAGACTTGTGGACGATAAATCCGACACCTCCTTGGGACAGATGGTCGCCCTCCCGGTGATAGAGCAAGTTGCCGGATTCGAGGATTACCGTGTCCTCCCCCTCTCTTCGGACTTCGGATAATCCTATAATATGCCAGCGCAACTTGTCTATCTCTTCTTCCAGCTCCACGATCTTCTCGTCAGTCCTCAGGGTGCGTGCGTTGTACGTTGCCAGGTCGAGTCGTCTAAGGTGGCAACCGAACCTCCACCGGAGATTCTTAGCACCCCCTGCCCCGCCGTTACCATGGTCGCTACCGTAGCCAGGAATAACGGGGCCGCCGGGGACTGGGGGCCGTTTTTTTGTTGCTCTCATCATTGGGGGGTATTTGCCATAGTTGCCACGCTTGGCGAGCGGGTTGGCAACCGCAGTTTTTTTTATTGTAATTTGGCTATTATCAGGAAGATGCTGCTGCCCATCTCCTGGCTGTTTCCCTTTGTCGCCTTTTACGACACCCACGGGAGGATATGGGGTAGTGGATATTCTTGACCGCCACTACACGGCTGAAGACAGAGTGTGGCAGCATCGTTTCCGGGACACCTGAGATTTTGAGTGAGATTGAGAGGTTCTATGGGCAGCTGTTACATCATCGTTGGAGCCACACGCAAGTGTGAGTAACGATCCAAGAGCGAGTCTCATCCGACACTATTCCGAAGATATCCCGGATGTCAGTCTGAGCGAGATTAGGATGGCTCTCCAGCACCTTAAAAACGGTAAGGCCCCAGGCGAGGATGGAATTACAGCGGAGCTTCTGAAAGCGGGTGGAAGACCGGTACTTGAAGTCCTTCAGAAGCTCTTTAATTCCGTCCTCCATGGTGGCATTACACCGGAGGCGTGGAGCAGAAGTGCGGTGGTCTTGTTCTTCAAGAAAGGTGACAACGCTCTCTTGAAGAACTACAGACCGATTTCCCTTCTGAGCCGCGTCTACGTGCTGTTTTCGAGAGTCATTACGAATCGTCTCGCGCGCAGACTTGACGACTTCCAGCCTCCCGAACAAGCCGGTTTCCGAAAGGGCTTTAGCACCATAGACCACATACATACCCTTCGGCAAGTTGTACATAAGTCCGAAGAGTATAATTTGCCACTATGTCTGGCGTATGTGGACTATGAGAAAGCCTTTGATTCCGTCGTAATTTGGGCGGTGCTGCAGTCCCTTCAGCGGTGCCAAGTTGACTGTCGGTATATCGAAGTGTTGAAGTGCTTGTACAGTAGGGCTACG